CTGGGGCCTTAATGAATGAATTAACGAGTATGAAATATGACAATGAGGGTGTTATTAGGGAATATATCCTTAGAATGATCCATGTTCAAACAAAACTCAAAACCTTCAAAATTGTTATTCTTGATGATTTTATTGTTCATCGCACTTTTAACTCTTTGTCTCTTGAGTTTAATCAAATCAAAATTGTCTACAATACCCAAAATGAGTGATGGACAATTAATGACCTTATCTCCAAGTGTAATTCTGAGGAATAAAAATTTAGAAAAGAAAAGAGTGTAACTGCTTTGTTTGTTTTTCAGTCTAAATCTAGTTTCAAAGGTGGGTATCAAGAAAATAATAGAAAACCTCACCATAATGCTTCAAAGAATAGTTGGGAGTTCAAAATGCATAGTACTGGTTAGAATGTGGGAGATCCTAAGACTGCCATTCAAAAAGATGTCAAGTGTTACTTTTGCAAGAAAAAAGATCATAAGAAAAGTGAGTGTACTCGATTCAAGTCTTGGTTAAAAAAGAAGAATAAAGAAGAATGTAACTCACTATCTTTTGTTTGATTTGAATCCAATTTATTTATTGTCTCATTAAATTCTTGGTGTATGGATAGTGGGACTTCTATTCATGTTGTTATGACTTTGCAGGTATTCACAAACAAACGAAGGCCAAGGGAAGGGGAAGCCAATGTTAAAGTAGGAGATAATAATGAAGTCCATGTTGAGTTTATAAGAACTGTAATGTTAAAGATAGACTTGCAGTCTAGATCTTTTAAAAAATCATTCACACTGACATCAGTGGACCTTACTCATGTACCTTGTGTGATAATAAATGTTTTATTACATTTATTGATGATTTTTCTCCTTATGGATATATTTATTTAATTAATGAAAATCTGATGCTCTTGAAAAATTTAAAAATTTTAAAACTAAGGCAGTGAAACAATTAGAGAAAATCATCAAAATTGTTAGTTCTAGCCGTGGTGGTGAATATTATGACAAACATGACATGTTTGAGCAGCATTTGAGATCATTTGCCAAGTACTTGAAAGATTGTGGAATTGTTGCACAATATATCATGTCTGATAATTTCGAGCAGAATGATGTGGCTGAAAGGTGTAATCGCACCCTTAAAAACATGATGTGGAGTATTATGAGTAGGTATAACTTACTTGATTATCTTTGGGGAGAAGCCATTAAAACGGCTTCATACATTNCGAGTGTTGTTGAAAGTTTAATGTATGTACAGGTTTGTACCAGACCTGACATTGCTTTGTAGTTAGTGTTCTTGGCAAATATCTTTTTAAACCAGGATTAGAACATTGAGTGACAGCTAAGAAAGTTATAAGATACTTGCAAAAAAAAAAAATTATATTATTGTTTATAGGAGAGTTGATAGTTTTGAGGTGATTGATTTCCCAAATTCTGATTTTGTTGGGTGTCAAGATGATTTAAAATCCTCTTCAATATATTTTAACATAATATAGAAGACATCCAGATCTACAACTTTCATGTTTTGCACTTTTGCAGATTCGAAGCGGATTATGGTAAAAAAGGAGGAAAACTAAGGTACTACTACAAAATGGTGTGGGTGCTGATGCCTATGTTACCAAACACCAATAGCTCCTTGATTTCTTTCACTTTTAAGCCTCCAAATTCTCACATAATGCGTCCATCTCTTCACCACACATCCACACTTAGTTGCAATGTTCTAAAATCCAGCATTTATGCTATAATTACCTGCAACATTGAAAATTCAACATTATTGACAACTTTGCCTAACTCTAAGTACTTAAATGCAAAAGTTGAGTTAAAATGAATGTAATGAGGCCTTCAAATATGCAATATTATGTTCTCATCAGCTGCCTACTAGAGAAGGGACACTTCCTTGCTCTGATTGTTCTAAGCTTTGTACTTTTGCCTCCCCTGACATTGGATTAACTTTAATTACAAATTTCTATCTGGTCTTTTCTTACTGGATGATATTTTGTCAAATCATGCTAAATTGTGGTGACACACCAATAACATTCTCATTCCTTTTGACCATTCAACTTATGTATTAAATGAAACTTATACATTATGCATGCTTGCATTCTTTTTCATTGTCGTTGTGATAGTAGTATCTTCTTCATTAAAACAACCAATCAATATGTCTGTGAGGGTTAAGTTAATGTGCTGGTAACAATTTGGTGTTCCATGATATGTTTTCCATACAATGAAAAGTTTTATTCATGATAGTTTATGCAACAAAGACATTTTTGGATTACTTAAAGCGAATGGCCTTTGTTGTAAAAATACTTTTATTGTCTAACATTTATTGGTTTAGTAATTTTTTGACGTTGTTAGATTTAATTTGACGTTGAATCTATGGAGAACTTTAATCTTAGACCGCAAGGATTTAATTTGTCATTGATCTTGAAGTAAAAGTTGTCTCGTACGTAGATTGAGATTGAAAGGGGAAGTATGAGTATGAGAAGCATTGTCATAGATTCCTTGGTTGGCCAAAGAGTCTGCAACTACATTTCTTTCCCTATAGGAATGCTACATTTCCACAAGAACCAAGCTCATTTTATATATAAAGAATAAACAATCTTTTAAGGCAATATTATCACGTTTTTTGGGTTAGATTACCATTTTTTTGAGAAGATTACCACTTTTTGAGGGAAAGATGACTGTGTTGAGATAAACGTATCATTTTTTTTGGTTTCCATTACAACTTTTTCGGTTAGAATACAACTTTTTTGGGTGTAATATTTTCACTTTTATTTGGTAATAATACCACTTTTTTGGTAAGATTACCAATTATTTGAGGTTAGATTACCCATTATTTGAGGCAAGATTATCATTTTTTTTTTGTTAACATTACCATTTTGTTTTTGGGTTAGAATACAACTTGATTTGGCTTAGAATACAAATTTTTTGGGTGTAAGAGTAAAACTTTTTAGGTATAACATTATCACCTTTATTTTGTAAAAATACCACTTTTTTTAATAAGGTTACCATTTATTTGAGACAAGATTATTACTTTTTAGGGTAAAATTACTATTTTTTAGGTTAGATTACCACTTTTATGTTAACATTACCATTTTTTGGGTTAGAATACTACTTTCTTGGACTTAGAATACAACTTTTTTGGGTTTAAAAATACGACTTTTTTAGTGTAACATACCACTTTTTTGGTAAGATTACCCAATATTTGAGGTAAGATTATTACTTTTTAGGGTAAGATTACCACTTTTTAGGTTAACATTACCATTTTTGGGTTAAAATACAAATTTCTTGGGCTTAGAATACAACTTTTTTGGGTATAAGAATACAACTTTTTGCGTGTAATATTATCACTTTTATTTTGTAACAATACCACTTTTTTGGTAAAAATACCCGTTATTTGAGGCAAGACTACTACTATCTTGTTTAAGAGTACCTCTGTTTTGGATAATATTATTATTTTTTTGGTTAAGATTACCACTATTTTGGTTAATATTATCATTATTTTGATAGACATTAACACTGTTTTAGTTAAAAGTACCACTGTTTTGGATAATATTGCCACTTTTTTGGTTAATATTACCACTATTTTTGTTAAGAGTACCACTCTTTTGGTGAAGATTATATGTTGAGGTAAGAGTACCATTTTATTGGTTATTTTTTGTTTAACATTACCATTGATTAGGTTAACATTACTTTTGGTTAAGATTACACTTTTTTGGTTAACATTACAATTTTTTTGATTAAGATTACCATTTTTTTCATTAAGATTACCACTGTTGAAGTAAGAGTACCATTTTGTTGGTTAAGAATACAATTTTTTTCAGTAATCTAACCAGTTTTTTGGTTAACATTATTATTTATTAGTTTAACATTACCACTCTTTTAGTTAAAATCACTTTTTTGGTTAAAAGTACTATTTTTTTGATTAAAATTATCAAACTTTTGATTAAAAATTACCACTTTTTTTGATTAAGATTACACTTTTGAGGTAAGTACCACTTTTTTGGTTAATATTTTTTAGTTAATATTATCATTTTTTGGTTAATATTATCACTTTTTTGGACCACATTTAGCGATCTATTTGCGATCAAGATCGGGGTAGCGATCAAGATTGGGATCAAGTAGCGATCATGGATCAAGTGCAGGTTTGCCATCAATCAAGTGGGATCCGACCAAGTTAGTGGTCAACAGTGGAATCAAGTGAGGTTAGCGATCCTTGATCGATCAAGAGTGGGATCAAGTAAGCTTTGCGATCAAGAGTAGCGAATCAAGAGTGGGATTAGGTGAGCAAGAGTAGCTATCAAGAGCTTCAGACCGATAGGTGCAGTAGATCAATAGTGGGATCAAGGAATTTTTTTTTCTTTTTTTTTTTAAATCTCAAATTTTGTTGCATAAATCTCAAAATCACAAGAATAAAAAAACAGAAACTGTTTAACCGAAAAAAACAGAATCTGTTTTAACAAAAAACCAAAAAACCAGAAAACTGTTACAAATAGAATTTCTGTTTTATAACAAAAAACAGAACAACAAAGCAAAAGAGGTTTTTTGCACAAATGCAGCATTCCTGAAACTGCTGGGTAACAACCTACCAACTCAATCCAAGCAAACCAGCCTAGTTTAGCTGCTTAGTAAACTGCACCAGTACATAGAACAGACTGCAGTAAAGCACTAGCTCCATTATGCCATCTTCATCCCAGCATACCAATCCATTCTAATTTTCAACTACTCAGTAATCTTATTGCTAAATTACCACAACCATGCTTATCACAACCATTATCATGCTCATTTTATGTATAAAGAATAAAGATATTTTAGATTTTTGACAAAAACACTACTGCTAGTTCAACTACAATTACCTACAATCGTCACTACTGCTACTTCAACTATTGTATCAAAAACCAATAACTACAATTACATACAATTGTCACTTCCTAGCTATTTCTTTGCTTTTCATAAAAAAAAGACTCAATTCTATCCAACCTACAATCCATCAGAGACTCCTTTATTTCATTTTGAGAATTTTTAGATTCCTCCCTCTTTCTGCTCAATCGTACCAACAACANAATCCATCATCTTCAGAGACTCCTTTATTTCATTTTGAGAATTTTCAGATTCCTCCCTCTTTCTGCTCAATCGTACCAGCAACATTCCATATACCTGCAATGCATCAATAGGAAGACCAGCTGTGGAAGAATTTGGGACATCCTGGGTTTGGGCTTCATCATCCTTAGCTTCAACTTCATTCTCGACTTGTGGCTGCGATTGCTGAGTTTTATTCTTCTTCCCTTGTCCCAAACTTTTCTTTATTGTCCCACCATAAATTGGATTCATGGGAGTGGAATAAGTGTCTCTTGAGTGAATCACAACTCCACAATCCTCCATAATCTTTGAAATCAAAATTGGGAATGGGAGACATCGTCACCTATCCTTTATACCTTGTACTGATATAATTTCATCAACTATTAAATAAGATAAATCTATACATATACCCTTTCCAATGGCATACAAGAGATGAGTTTGATCAACTCCAAAATTAGCAGTATGTCCTTTTGGTATAATATTGTACCCAACTATAAGATTTAACATCCTATATTTGGGAGTAAGGTCTTGTTGAAAAAATTTTGGATTGTCAATACTCTCACTAAATTTATTAGGTATACCCTCAAATTCTGCATGAACATCTTTTAGCTTAGTTATGTTCTTAAAATTCTTGAATGGATAGGTAAGGGTATTGTTAGGAATGAAGGGTCGGCAAACTCCCAATATTTTTGAAACTAACTCTAGAGTTACTTCAAAACTTACGTTCCTCACAAGGGACTTAAATTTGTGATCATCTCTATCAATATCATGCATATTAGAATAAAATATCTTCACCAATGTATTATATGATTTATCAGTCTTCTTAATATCTACTGCAGAATTCTATTGATGAAGAGAAAAAATAAGATCACATCCTACCTCTTTTAATTGATCTAGTAAAACACCCCTTTCCAAAAACAAATGCCTATAATTAATGTAGTTCTCATACGACTGTTTGCAATGTTTGTTGAAGAAAGATGTTTCCTTATTACATATGGGGTTGGATGAACTTGGTGGATGATTAACAGTGGGATCAACTGGATTGAAGGAGGTGGGATTGGTGGAGGTGGAATCAACAATGGGATAAATGGAGGAAGGATGATTACATTTCTTCTTCGAGGAGGAAGAGGGAGGATCATTACAGCTTTTCTTCCTCTTCATTTTTTCACTGGTATCCACAACTTTTGGCCTATATTTCTTTATACCGGTCATTCTACTCTAACAAAAAAAAATCTAGTCAAAAAAGCAATAACATGAAAAATTATCTATTATTTTGAGCAATAACAATTGAAGATGTGAGGAAGATAGGATTTCTTGAACCATCACTCACAAAAACCATAATTTGTTCAACCCGAAAACACATACCTTATGCAACTATCTATACAAAAAATTTTATGAAATTGAGAGAGACAGAGACAACTATGTATAAAACAATATGACGAAATAAACTTGTTTTTTTGCTAATTAAACCAAAAAAAAAAGAAAAAAAAACTACCATAGATGAGCCGAATTCTTGTGACAATCACCATACAGTATACACCCCACACACAAGTTAGACAACCATGACACCCCAAGTCGGAGGCACCTTTCTCTCCCTTCCTTGACGGAGAAGCACGATGCAGGCTATTTCGAGACGATTATGGCACCAAACTTTGAAGCCCTCACCTGATTTAGGGTTTTGGGTATGCAATCAGGATGAGATTTCACGATTTGGACTTAGATTTGGGGTTAGATTGCTGATTTAGGGTTAAATTTGGGGTTAGATGACTGATTTAGGGTTTGAGGAGTTGGCTTTTTCGATTTCCTTTTGTTTGCTTGGGGAATAGAAGAAAAAGTTTGATTGCCATATTGAGCGATCAAACTTGGATCACTACACATTAGAATTTTTACTTTTTTTTTTTCAATTTTTGCCTCGTATTTTTCATATTACACCCTCAACTATTAATTAATATCATATTCCCCCAAATTATTTTNTGATTTGGACTTAGATTTGGAGTTAAATTGCTGATTTAGGGTTAAATTTGGGGTTAGATGGCTGATTTAGGGTTTGAGGAGTTGGCTTTTTCGGTTTCCTTTTGTTTGCTTGGGGAATAGAAGAAAAAGTTTGATCACTATATTGAGCGATCAAACTTGGATCACTACACATTAGAATTTTTACTTTTTTTTTTTTTTCAATTTTTGCCTCATTTTTCATATTACACCCTCAACTATTAATTAATATCATATTCCCCCAAATTATTTTACCTATTTTAATTTAACATATTTGATAACTTTGTTATTGTAATAATTTTACCTTAACCCAAAATATAACCACAAAAATAGCAATTTTACCCAAAAAAATTGTGATAATGTAACATTTTAATAATAGCAATGTGCTAAACTTTAATTGTAATTTAGCCTTGTGAACTTAATAACCTAATCCTAACCTCCAATATTTTTAAAATTTAATGTCACTGTAAAATTTTTCTTATATTTTTATTTCAGGTTTAAATATGATAAATAATTATAATTTTTTAAAAATAATTTTAATGTCTATTATCACTTAAAATAGTGGTGAACTTAGATATTATAAATTTTTTATTATATTTTTATTTAGGTTTGAATAAGATAAATAATTATCATTTTTTAAAACTAATTTTAATTTCTATTATCACTTTTTTTTTTAAGTGTGTAGCGGTTGTATTTATTTTAAAAATATATACCGGTTAAATCGGTTANGAATAAGATAAATAATTATCAATTTTTAAAACTAATTTTAATTTCTATTATCACTTTTTTTTTAAGTGTGTAGCGGTTGTATTTATTTTTAAAATATATACCGGTTAAATCGGTTATAGGTTTTGACAAATTTAAGTGGGTACATGTGTCAACCCTACATTCTTTTTAAATTTTTAGTATCGTACCAAATTTCACATTTTCGGTATAGAAGGCAACTCCTTAATTGAATTGGTGTTTAACATTTATAATACATTAAATTAAAAAAAAAATTTGGGTTTAACACAAATATGATTCAAAAATAACAACACGCGGCCACACGGCGAGAATTGCTGTAAGGTCTTTGAGTATCCCATTAAATTACCATCGGCTTGAAATTGACATTCCAATCAAACCCAATTTACTTAGGAGCAATTAAAAATTAATTAAATTCAAAATACATAAGTTTTAAAAAATTCCTTTTTCGGAATTGCTATAATGTCTATAACTAAATGCTCCTTACATTTAGTTTAACTACATGTGGACCCCCTTATGTTTTAAAAATTTTATTGAGACCCCTTGACATTTGACATCATCAAAAACATGTAATATAATACCCAAAACATCATTCTACAATGTGAGAGACTTTATTAACTCAACAAAATGTATAGTCTACCCTCCCACCTCACTTATAATTTTGACAAATAATGACACAACAATTCAATTATGTTTATTATACTAATCTAATCGACTTAATTATATAAATAATAATAAGTCTAAATTTAGGAATAGAATAATTTATTTTTAAAAAATCTGGTGCATTAATTATGCTAATTTATTTTTAAAAGAGACCATATCAAAGTTATTCCAATATTTAAGCGCATGTTTTACCATAATTAAATTAAAATTTGATCAATTACCCGATATTTCAAATTAATTCACTAAATCTAATCAATTCATTAGATCAAATTCATATCCAATGAATTCCCATAGTGATTACGATTTAAAACTAATCAACATTCTAAATATAATAG